TTTTTAAGTCATGCCAAAGCTTCATGAAAATACCTCATTCACAACAAAGTATGGGGCAGCAGGGGCAGTAAATCTCTCATTACTGATTCGGATGTTGTTTCTTACCATGAATGAACGCGAGTTTGTTTTCCTCTGTAACATAAACAGTATACTTTATGAACTTGTTTTGTAATCATATATAAATAAAATAATTTTAGTAATTACCTCATCCATAACATGAAGGGGGCAACAATGGGAGCTAGAAACTTCAGTAGCAGTTTCCGTGTTTTTTATTTCCTTCACTGTCACACATAACTGAGAAACTCCTCCACTCTCTTACATCTTGTGCATAAATGCTTCTAGTTGCCAATCATTCCTAATGACCATAGGAGGGAGATCTTTTGACGCTAAAAGAGATCTTATAAATGATCTGTAGCTTATTTTCAAACCATTGGCATTGCCATCAATTCTAAAATCTTCTAAAATAGTCGCAACCAGCTTGTTGTAACTATGTTCTCTTTGATGACACTAAAAGAAGCTCTTCTATCAGGATGAACAACGAACTCCCATTGTGTGGTATTAGTTAAATACCAAGCTCCACACACAAAATATATCTCAAACATTTTATCTGATGAAAAGAATATCGCAAGTTATAAGGATTTACAAATTTACGAATATCATATTTCAGAATCGAGAATCTAAGAATCAATCGGAATCTCTTCTTCACAAATTGGATATATACTTGTCACTAAACCTTACACTCAGACAACACATCATAGTTTTTCCTAAACCTTATGCTATTGAATCGTAATTTCTCAGAAAATCAACAAGTTTTTTTAAAATTTGACAGAATCAGAAGACTTGTACCTTTGCTTTACAAATCCAGCAATATCTGGTAGAATCTGATTCCAATTTCATACAACTCGCCGGCGAGAGACGATAGGCTCGGCGAAATACGAAATCGCCGATCACTCTCGTTCTTCTTTGTCGATCTCGGGTTTTAAGAGAAACGCGTTATTGATACAAGGGTATAATGACCAATAAAAATGGTATTATTGATTGATAGTGGTTTTGATAATAATAATCTATATCTATATATATAAAGTAGAAGCTATTCTCTTCTTAGACTGTCACCTCATCCACTCCGATCTCCAAATGGTGACACATCATCAAATATGTTTATTAACTTTTATTTGATTTATTATGTTTTATGTTCTTCAATCTTTCAATTCTTATAATAAATAAAATTTATTAGTGTAATAAAATTTAAATAGAATATGAAAATTCATTTAATCATTAAAACCAAGTTATATATTGATCTAAAAACTTTAAATTTAATAATTGTAGTTATGACATATATAATAATTATATATATATAAAGTAGAAGCTACTCTCTTCTTAGCTGCCACCTCATCCACTCCTATCTCCAAATAGTGACACATCATCAAATATGTTTATTAACTTTTATTTGATTTATTATGTTTTATGTTATTCTATTCATCAATTCTTATTATAAATAAAATTTATTAGTGTAATAAAATTTAAATAGAATATAAAAAATCATTTAATTATAAAACCAAGTTATATATTGATCTAAAAACTTTAAATTTAATAATTGTAGTTATGACATCTATAATAATTATAATGACATTAAAGAAAACACGTTCAAAAGGTCAAGAGAAAAAAGAATTACAAAAAGTTAGCGAAGATTAAATTAAAATTACGTCAAAATTTTTTGTATGTTACTTTTATGAGAGAAAGAGAAATTGGTACATCTTGAATTAGCATTAATCATATGAAATTTTTATGAAAAAGATTAATACTATGCAAAATATATTTGAAAAACATTAAGAGTTTATGAAGAAAGATTAATATTATATGAATAAACATTTGATTCAAATTTAAAAATAGAGAAATATAAATATAATATTTAATATAATTTTTTATATTTAAAGTTATCATATGAGACCAATATTAAATATGTAACAATTTAAATTTTATTTAAATATGTATATTCAAATTTTGATACTAAATATTATTTACGAACCCATTATAAAAAAAATTAATAACTAAATAATATAATATTTCATATATTTTTTTTTAATTATAAAATTATGTGCGTAGCGCGGATGACATACTAGTTAGAAAAGTAGTACTCTCTCCGTTTTATAAAGAGTGTCACTTTGACATTTTTCACACAAATTAAGAAACTTAATAAAAAAGTCTCCTCTACCCTTTATAAATACACTAAACAACCATCTCTTTCTAATTAATACACCAATATACCAAGGTTAAAACTGGATTTTTGTTTAAAAAATTGCATTAGAAATATAAAACGACACTTTTTGTGAAACAAAAATAAAACTCTAAAATGACACTCTTTATGAAATAGAGGGAATAGTTCTCAAAAATTCTCCAAAAAAATGAAATAATCAATGAATTTTGATTAAAGTAATATTAAATTTATAACAATACGATTTATTTTATTAATAAAATTGCAAAAGTAAATTGATTTAAAATTTTAATATTATTTTATAGGAATATAGTTTTATAATTAGATTAATCCGTAAAGACCAGTCATAAAAATATTAGTCTTAAAAAAAAGTAAATTATTTGTAAATTGTATTTCTAAATAGTAGATATACATAGGAATTATATAAAAGTAGATTAAATATTTTTAAAATTTAATATTATTAATAAGTTATTCAAAATTATATATAATTGAGTTAAAATTTATAAACTATTAACTTTTTGATATAACATAAATATTTTTTATCAAAAAGTTTGATTAAATTGTTATATAATATTATTGGGGAGCAAATTTTGGAATGCCACATTGGGGAGTGTAATTCGTCCGGGAGTGGAGCCGTGCCTCCGAGTTTCGTTCTCTGGGGGAAAGGCGACGAGACGTTCTGGGACGAAAGCTGGATTGGGTCCCAACAGCAGGATAGTAGATAAATCCGACTCTGCAAATGCTACACAAAATGTCAATCGGGCCTCCGGGAAGACCGAAAGGGGGTTTTCCTTCCAAAGGTTCTCTGACGCCCAAGTCAATGAACGCCCTACTGGGAACAAATACTCATGAGGGTGTTTCTATGGGTTGGAGTGAGAGGCTCATCCGGAGATCGAGATATTTTCTGTTTACGAGTGTTTCGAAGTGGATTCTATACTGAAGGAAGAAGGTTCATCAAGTATAAAGGCAGGATTTCAGGTCAAGAAGGGAATTATCCTAGTATGCATCATCTCGAGGGAACAGAGAGGTTCTCTCTTAATTATGCCGTTCGGCGGTGCAAGTCGGGTTGAGGTGGCTGGGCTTCTCCTCCTTAGATCGGGTTCCGTGAGCACATCCTCTTCTTGTGTGGAGATCTCTCTCTTTTTTATAATGGCCTTCTCTCTGTCATGTCCTCTCCATTCGGCGTGCCAGAAGAGCAGGTAGGCTAATGATTCATGAGTGTTCGGAGAAGCGTGCCAACAGCCCAGGAACAGTACGCAGATATTGTTCGGTTGAGCTAGTATGGCTTGTGTCAGTGTCTAGGACAGCTTGATGTCCACATGTCGCGTTGTCCCTAGAGGCGGTAAAATCAGTTCTAACAAATATATTAACAAAAAATTACCTTTTTTAATCAAATTATTTTGTTTGTATAAATTAAAAATTATATATTTTCATTTTCTTAACAAAACTAAAATATTCATAATATTATATTATTTGGAAATATTTAATTATACTTTATATTTCAAATTTTTATATAATATCTTAAACTTTTTTATTACATTTAAGTATTTATATTATTTGATTAATTTATATGATTTTATTCAAAACCACACTAAACCAAAAATACATTTATATAAATGTCAATTAAATCAATTTTCGTAGTTTTGCAAAAAATATTTATCATTTATGTTTTTTCAATAATTTATGAATCATCTATTGATCTACACATTTTTATTTCTAATGTAAGATTTTTAAAACATGCTTTTATTTATTAATAATTTGAGTAATTTATTTTGATTTCTAAAAATTTGAATTATAACATATGTACAAACAAATCTATATTTATTTTTTACTATATAGATGATGTGATAATTTAATTATTTTACAAAATTAAGTTTAAATGAAAGTATGAGAAAATCTATATTTTTGGCAGAAAATATAATTAAAGAAATAATGATAATGATATATTTTTGATGAAACATAGAAAGAAAGAAATTATTTTGCTTAATTAAATATTGAATTATATATAAATAAATGATATAAACTATTACTTAATCAAATTAATATGTATGACAGAACATGTAATTAATCTAGTAATATAAACTTAATTTTATATATTTTCTGAAAATAAATGTAGTGATGACATATCAGCAAAATAGCACCACTATAAATACTTATAAAAATAATATTAGTCTTTAAAAAACTTTTCAATTAATATATAAGAGATTTTGTATATTTACTGAGAATAATTGTGCTGATGAAATATCAGTAAAGTAGCACCAGTGTAAATATTTACAAAATGAGGTTAGTCTCTAAAAATATTTTTCAGTTAATATATAAAAATTTCATCTATGATGAGGGTTTCTTCTATGTTATTCCATATTGTTGTTCTTGTTTGAATTGGTTAAAATTATCCCAAACAAAAATCATTTTTTAAATTTTGGAAATCAAGCCAATGGCATAACCAATGTGTTTTCCTTTAAATGAAAGCTCAAATTATAACTAGAGAATATGCACTATATAACCAAAATTTGTGCTTTTATTTGTAAGTAAGACCTATGTCAAATTATAAAATTTGATTTAGCATAATATAATTTGATTGGGAAAAAAATATACAACAGTACATGGCCAACACAAATGGTTTTTCCTAAACCGGAAAGATGTCAAAATATTATAAAATTGGTCTACCATAATATGATTTAGATGGGAAAAAATATTCATACAGTACATGGCCAGCACAAATGGTTTTTCTTTAATCGGAAAGATGTCAAAATGTTATAAAATTTGGTTTAGCATAATATGATTCAGATATACACAGTACATCACCACAAATATTTATTTCCTTAACCGGAAAGATTCCACAAGGGCGTCACTTCAAACGGTTGATAGTAAACCAACCAAATCGAAGAAGATTCGTCTTCTTCTTCAACTAGTTCTTTGTTTCTCTCTCGCCTTTTGGAGTTCCTCACTTCTTGGTTCTACATACATGTCTCTCTATCCAAATCAATCACGTAATCAAATTCATCGCTTCCTTTAATTTCTAAATTTCAAAAACCCCATTTTCAATCTCATCCTCAATTTAGCAAATCGTTATAAATTTATAATCCCTAAATCTCTCTGGCAGTTTCAATTTGATTTAGTTTTTGATGGACCTTGCTCGATTAGCTTCCATATCACCTCAGAGAAGAAGAAAATGGCTGATTCTGTTATCGGTTTTCGGAGTTTCGGGCTATGGAGTTTACAAGGTTTACAATTCTCCGTACATCGCGAGGAAGAGGAAGCGTCTTATGAAGCTCTTCGGTGGAATCGCTTCCTTCGCCGAACTGGTTATCGAATCCGCAGAGACGATAAGTATCGTTTCCCGAGACTTGAAGGAGTTTCTCCAATCGGATTCCGACGAAATCCCTAAAAGCTTGAAGCAGATGGCGAAGATCACTAAATCGAAAGAGTTCACTGATTCTCTAGCTAGGGTTTCCGAGGCCGTATCGATTGGGATTTTCCGTGGGTATAATCTGGATCAGGAATCGAAAAATTCGGAAACAGAATCAGGAATTGGATCGAATTCAAGTGTAGTCGAGAAAATTTTCTCAGATGCAGGAACTGGTTTCGTTTCCGTTGTTGTTGGTAGCTTTGCGAAGAATCTTGTTCTTGGATTTTATGAGATTGAGAGTGATACCGAAACAAGAACAAAACCTAGATGGATGAGTTTGCTCTGTGATGATAAGTGTAGAGAGCTTTTAGCTGATTGCATCGAGAGGTTCACTACCTCAGCAGTATCAATCTACATCGAGAAAACTTCTGGGATCAACACTTACGATCAGATATTCTCTGGTTTGACAAACCCGAAACATAAAGATAGTGCACGAGACGTTCTTGTTTCGGTATGTAACGGAGCTCTTGAGACGTTCTTGAGAACATCTCACCAAGTCTGCACGTCTTCTGATACAGTCGAAGAAGAAGTAACTGAGAAGAAGTCAGATTCGGTTAACGGATGGGCAGAGGCGATTTCGACTACGTTAGCTGTACCGAGCAATAGGAAGTTCATGTTTGATGTTACGGGGAGAGTGACATTGGAGACGATGAGATCGATCGTTGAGTTTGTGATCTTGAAGACATCACAAGGCTTTAAGAAGAGTGTTGATGTGGTTCATGAAGAAGTTACAGAGAGAGGACGTCAAGTGGTTGGATATGTTGGTGCGAAATCTTCAGTGATCATCACTGTTTGTCTTGCGGTTTACCTTCACATTGTAAACCGGTTTGTTCGAGGTTCTCCGGTTTGCTTAAACCAGCATTTGTGAGCATAAGATCGATCTTTTAGCTCGTTAGAGTATGTTAGGCACGTGAGATTATCAATCATCCATATTCGGTTTATATAGTTTAAAGCTTAATTCTTATTGATAATAAGATTTTTCAATCCTCAGAAAATTTTAAATTAGTAATATGACTAGTCCTAAAAAGGACACTTGAACCGCAAATAAAAATTGTTATTTAGACGAAATTTATTTCACTTTTGATTAAGAAGTTTCTAATTTATTCATATATAAAATTAATAATAAACTACGGTATAAAATAGAATTTTTTTAAAAAAAATCAATTTCTTTTTCAGAAATAAATTAAAAACTTTTTTTTCATTCACGTGCATATATCAAAAGTATAAACGACGTTTTCATATAAAAATATTAATGTAATAATTAGCAGTTTGTGTAAAATGTTTATGCCACAACTTTCTAAAGTAAAGAAAGTAATAATAATAAAATTAATTTTTTGAGAGAAAAAAAAAAACTAATTTTTTCACTGCAGCAAATCGGTAGTTATTGAGGCTCCTCGTTCGCCGATTGACGGACGCAACAGGCCAAGGCTTTGCCAACGCTAAAGCAAATCAGATCTTTCTTCTCTCTTTCTCTCTGCATCGAATTAAGCAAAATTAGAAACGAACAGAGAGCGATACTTTGGGCAGAGAACCCTATTCGATCACGAGATCGTCGCAACGTTTCTCGTAATCAGAACCGCGAAGAATTCAGCAGAATCGGAGTTTGCGAGCCGTGACGGTAGAAATGCTCAAAGACGGAGAAGAGACTCCTTCTAGGTAAATAAACTCGGGATCATACGACTTCAGATTCTTCTGCGTTCTATGCTTGATCGTGCTTAGTTCCAGTATTTGCAGAGTGAATTTCGGAGTTTTTTTTGAACGATTTCTAGTTATATTACTTGAATTTCACTGAGATAGTTGTCCGTTTAGTTTTGCTTTGATATTCTTCCACAATGAAATGCTTATTTAAGTTTTCGGAATCGTTCAACATGTTTGGCTTCTTTATGTGATTAATTCTCTATCATGATTCTGTGTAAGAATGTTCAAGTCGAGAATCTGGGAGAGGTTTCTTAGAACGGCTTAAGTTGATTATGCTGTTTGATTCTTGTTTTCTCAGGCATGAGATCCTGAGTATGGTGAAAAAGCACTCAAAATCGTTAGGAAAGACGACTCTTGATGAGCAAGATGCGTCAGATGTAGAGATGGACTCGAATTTCTGGCATGGAGTGTTTGATGTGTATTTCATTCGCTGCATAGAATCAAGGAGGAGGCAAGACGATGATCTTCTATTTTTTGTGAGGAAATTGGTATGTGGCTTGCAACTTTTTCTCTGAACCAAAAACTTAGAACATCGTCTTATTCTTCTTGTTAACGTTACTGAGTTGTTCTATACTTTTGCCAGAGTTGTAAATCATATGGTTTGACTGAAAATGAGGAAGCACCAGCTCCTTACTTCGTGCGCAGGTGGGCACCTAAGGTAAAAACTGCAGGAATCAATACTGATATCTGGTTAAGACACTTCAAAGTATCTTGTTTATTTGTTGTGTTGCACCTTCACCCTGTATGAAATGTCTACGAGCACATGGTAATGAATTTCTTCTCCCTTTTATACCAGTTGGATGAGCTTCTTGGTGAAAGTCTGGCTGAAGTTGATTGGAGGAAATCATTTTATTTGAACATGGTTGCTCACACGTCATTCACTGTTACCGTAGCAATTTGCAGGTAACTATGTAACTCTCAGATTCTGATTAGCCGCATCATGTCCTAATTTCAATTCAGTCTAATTTACATTTTGTTCTGTCATTTAATGTTTTGAGTATTATGATCCTCTGTTCCTCTTTTTTTTTGGTTCTGAAGTCGTGTTAGTCCGGTCTTAATGTTTGCTACCCTCTTCTTCGTTTGCGTGATTAGGACTTGAGTCGTTTTTATGACCTGTTTCTTTGGTTGTCCATATTATATTTATCACGAGGCTTTTCGTCTTTCCATCTTACTGCATCATGGTAACTCTGAACTCCCCGTGTTTTTAGTAATGAGGCCCTGAAGAAGTACCAAGGAAGTAAAGACACAACACTCTCTCCTATATACAAGGTTAGAGATCGTAAGAGTATTGGATGAAACTACTCTCGACTTTCAGCTCTTTTTAAAAAATTTCATATGAAAAAAGCAACTGAAGCCAAAGATTAGTTATATACTCTGCTGTTCAAAATTTGTCAGTCCAGCTTCTTTTTATCATGAGCCTGTTAAGACAAGATTAAGGAAACGGAATACGAATCCAGCTTTGGTTTTTTTATTTTAAAAGAGAGGACATTCCACAGGAGTTTTGGACCAAACTTATATTTGGACATTTCTTTCTGAGCCTCAAGTTGGTTTCGTATTCTGTAAGCCAGTGACAATCATGTTCGCTGATCTTACAGTCATATCATGCAGGTTGTAAAAACTGTATATGCATCACCTAGTCGCGTGAATTTTCATCTGGACTCAAAGAAGGCAAGTTTAGTCGTTTTTTACGTACCAATGTTTATGTATTTGGAATTCGTATTTGATTTTTTTGTGTACCTAGGAAGTGGAGACAACACCTGCCTACCCAGAAATTTGTTTTGCCGTAGATGATTTTGACTCAACCTTTGATGCTGTGGTAACATATTTCTTCTCTTTTCTTTGTATTATTCTTCCAAGTACTATATTTCGAAGTCCTTTCTTTCGAAGAAAATCTAGACATGAACGGATTTTAAGGAAGTGTGACATTCTGTTTGTAATGAAATCCGTTCTGGAAGAATTATTATTTAGGTGAGAAAATCTGCATGAAGTCTCTCCTTTGCCACTGGGGACAAGTTACATGCATTTTTAGTTTCCTCATAAGTGGATAGTAAAATCCTAGTTGCCCTTTGGAACAGAATCCAGACGTTAATTTTCAACTACCTTTGCCCTTTGGAACTCCTTATTTTAGTCTAGTGCCTGTTTTTCAATTATATTCTCCAGGGGATTGGCCAGCCTTACTTCTCTAGTTTTTTTTTCTAAGGCACGTAGGAGTTTGGCTGTATAGTTCCTGTAAATAACTCAAACTTGTATGGTTAGGTTAATTGCCCAAATTGTTATAACCATGTTCATCGGCTTTCTCATTAACGTTTGCAGGTTCTGACAGAGAAAGATCATTGCTATTGCGTACTTCTTAATTCTCATGATGGGGCAGCCTTTCCTAGTGAAAATGGAAAAATTGATAAGGATTCTACTGGTTCTAATACAAATACTGATCCTAGAAGGGTGAAAGATCCTAAGGTCTATTGGTTTCCTATCTCTGATTGATTATTATCAGCGGTTGCTGCCAATCATCTACCAATTTTATCCTTCGCTACCTGAGTCTCATATATGTTTAATAGATTCAAGCTATGTGATATTTAAGACATATGGACAACATTACATGGTAGTGACTTGCTAATGAAAAAAGAGAATTGACATGCTGGTGCTTTTGGTTGCAGGTTACTCTGTTTTCTGGGTTTGTCAGCTATCAAATGGTTCGAGAAGCCTATGAAGGTCACTTTACAGTTTCATTTATATATATATATATATATTATCCATTTATAGAATCTCATATGGTCCTGATGCTCTGTTTCGCTGGTTACCTGCATTAGTCTTCTAGGTGCTCCAATTGAAATTCTCACGCTTTCTTCTTAATCTATCTGTCATCTCTATCTTTTATTACAGGGGGAAGGAACCGGTTCGGAAGTCTTCTATCACTAGTTCATCACACAGGAAAAGCAGACAGACTTTATATGAAAGGTCCAGGAGGACGTGGAGAAGTCGAAGTAGCTGTTTCTGGCGTTATAGGTACTGTTCGCTTCTCTTTCTTAAATTGCTGCACAAACCCTGACTTCATTATTTTCCCGAGTTTTACACCACATTTAGTAATATAGCATGTAAGATAAAAAAATAAAAAAAAAAGTAGACTCAGCAACAGTTTGTTGCTTTGGATTGTCTAAAAGGGTAGATGTAATTAACAGTAAGATTATCTGAAGTTCCAGTCGCTCAAAGTTAAAAAAAGTAGTAATGCTTTAAGGGATGATTGTATAGAAATTGCTTTTCTCAGATCAGAGCCAAGTAGTTTTAGGTCCTGTTTCACCAATGTCTTCGAAGAAGAGCATCGATCTCGGCTCCATTTTCCGTAAAGCAGCATCTGTTGCATCTGTCGCAGCTAAACATGCAATTGCAGCTGCTACAGCCTCATACGATGAAGACGAGATGTTCCCTCTTAAGTGCTGTTTAATGTCCATCTCATTACCGTGGGACACTATTGCTCATGATCTCTTATTTAAGGTAAACAAATTAAACATGAGTAAATCTTTAAATTGGATTATATCTTACGCTGACTGCTTCCACTTAACGTGTTGATTTAGGGATCTCCACCAGTAAACATGGATTAGAACATTGCAACTCAAATTAGAAGAAGAAATGAAAGTGCAGGAAACAGGAGTTGTGTGTTTTGTCCCAAATGAGTTATGTTCTTTGATTGAATTCTCCTTTTGTGCTGTGACTTGACTCTGGTTTTACTACATAACAGTTTATACCTCCAACAATAAATGAAAGTTAAGTTGTGAATTTGGAAAAATAAGTCTAATGTAAACTCGATCTACATATTTGGTCTGCCTCGTTCCATCAAGAAATCACCGAGTAAGATCTACCAATTTCTGCAATAGAATTTGTTTTAGGATACAAATTATTAAATTTGTGAAAAGAAATAGCTTTTTTTTGCTTTTATTTGGACTATACTTGAGAATGTGCAAAGGCTAAAGAAAAAACAAAATTGAGGTCGGCAGATGGGGAATAAGCACATGAATCCCAACTCTTAGTGGTAGACATTGCTTAATTAGATGACAAAACTATGTGTTTGAGGTTAATTAAAGGTTAACCAAAAGAATTATGCTTAGACATTTCCTGATTAGATGACAACACTCTGTTTGAGGTTAAATTAATGTTTCTGTTTTTATAACGAAAAGAATTGTGTTAAAATATAGATTCGGTTAATAGAAGTTGTGCATGTTTGAGTCCACTAACAAAAGCCACAAAAGTCGCAAACAGTGGACTCTGGAATTTCTTGAAACGTGATTACAAAAGTCAAATCTAAGAATAGTATTGATCTTTAACATCCTTTTAACTGCGAATAATTGTAGGAAAAAAGAAAAAACTGCTACCAAACGATTATTTTTTTTAGACAAAAATATGATTAGTTATAATTTATTAATATACTCTAATGAGGAAATAATATATACTTTAACTTATGAATTATGTACTCATGTCCATGTGTCAAGAAGAATACTTACTTTAACTTTTTGGCTCTTATTATTAAGGAAAAACCTTTTCAAATTATGTCTGTACTCTTTTAAAACTTATTATAACAATGGATATTTCAAGAAAATAAACAAATGTTTTACGTGTTGTCATGCTGATTGACTACTACGATTTACGAACATAAAATTACCATCTTAACCAAGCCATGGTAGCCTAGTGGTTGAATATTTTTTTCATATATACCAGTTCTCTCAGTGATTTTTCAAAAATGGTTGTACTTGATTCAAAAAACAACTTTAGATATAGAAGAACATATCTTTCTTTCTATTTTAAAATGGATTCCAAAGATTGGATACTAAATTTTCACTATTTTCATTCTTATAGCTAATGTTTTAGTTATCTTTACTATAAAAGAATTAATTTCTAAACATGGTAAATAAATCAAATATTATTTAATTGTTTTATCAATATATCAGATTTATTGTATTCAAAATAGTTGATAAAAAAAGGAATAATACAAAACATATAACTATAGTATTATACTTTTTAACCGATAAATTTTCTTATAAATTATGTAAATATATGAAAATACTGAGATATTTTTGACATAATTATTATTATTATTATTATTTTATAAAAGCTGACATAATTATTATTACGGAAACGTTATGATAAAAAATGATATACATACACTATAAAGAGAATGCAGCTGTAGTTTCACAAGATAAATAAATTGATACATAGATTATAAAGAGAATGCAGCTGTAGTTTCACTTGTATTGTTTACTTTATCTTATCGATAAAGATAAGAAAATCCAAACACATGAAAAAACTTATACGTAATTTGCTTTTTGTTAGATTCTTCGTCATTAAGCTAAGGCTGCTAAGCTCTCATCTTCTTCTTCGTCAAGATACACACTCCATTTTCTCCCCCTTAAGTCATAACTTAAAAGGCTGAATACAAATACCAAATCTTTCTTTTCAGTATATGACGCTTATAACTATGGCCAGAGAAAAACCATGCATTTTATTAATTAGTAACTATATAATTTTGTGTTATAATCTTCCAGATATTATTGAACCGACGACTAGTATTTTATCTTTTACATATATAGTTTTTAAGATGTATTGTTTCTTAATTATAGATATATATAAAACAATGTGACATCTTCAGCATCAATTGCTGATGGTAGTCGACGTATTTGTAGTTTATTAATCTAAAAATACACTAATCTTACAATGACAATGTGAAACTATTACACTATCTATGTAATTAAAAAGTAGTGCTAAGAGATTAAAGGATAAAGGTTAAAAAGCAATATCCAAACAAAAGGTATAAAAGGATAAAAAAAACAAAAAAATTCAAAGAAAATAGTAATAACAATATCCAGGGCACTAATGGACAAACATTGCAATTAATCTCTTAGATTTAGTCTGATTATGACATTTTAAATACTTGGCACTTTATTAATGGACAAAACAACCTCTAAATGGGTCCCACGTGTTCTTACTCCTTTCACTCTATAAATAACCATGCGTGGTTCATTTGGATCTTCCCCTTCCCCTCTTGTTTTCTGTCTTGCTTACATACCAATAATACCAAAAACTGGTTCAATACTAAACCGGATTTCTCTTCAACAAATAGCAATGTTTTCAACAAGTTTTGAGCCAGTTCATATCTGCTTTGATGATGCAACGATAACCGGCGATGAAATCACAGAAATTTTGGCGTTTCTTCAATCAAGCAATTCCGACAATCCGAGCGGTTCAAACGAATTGGTAGAACCATTTGATGAGAAGAAGCGAAGACGGACGATGTCAAACCGGGAATCAGCAAAGAGATCGAGGTTGAGAAAGAAGAGACGTTTTGAGGACTTAACCGAAGAGGTAAACCGACTAAATCTAAAGAACCAAGAGCTGAAAAAACAGCTGGCCAATGTTTTGAGCAGTGGTAATTTCTTATCAAGGGAGAATAACCGATTGAAAACCGAATCGGTTTGCCTTGAAATAAGGCTTCTGGAGTTATACCGGTTTTTGGTGGCCATGCAATCGCCATTCTCAACGAGGTTAAGTTACATAGAGCTCGAGATTTAAGTTTGAAACAAAAATAAAACAAAAACGATGCTAAACGAGTTTGAGTATTTTTGTAAAAGGTTGAGCGATTTTAATTAAGAATTGTCACTTTTTTTTTCTTACGTGGAATTTTCACATTGTGGTTAAAAGATGCATGTGTTTATGTAAATATTATGTGAAATTCTTCTTTATGCATTCTATACAACAACGGATATTATATTTGTGAAAGTTGAGTCCTTCTTCATAATGTCTATTTTAATTCTATCGTTGAAAGATTCAAAACATATAACTGTTCCAAAAAAAGGTCCAAAACATGTATATAACCAAAACAAGACCGGCTCATATTCTTCAAACCGAATAAATTTGAAGTTAAATTTATTTAAATGGATATCGATGACTTAAGAAATTTTGATTTTTAACAACTTTCTTTCTTCAATTTTATTTTCATTATATTAGTTAATAAATTTATTATTTTTATAATTATTTGTTTTAGGAAAAATCATTTTATATGTTTATCAACTAAAAACAGTCAATTTCTGATGCAGAAAACCGTCAAAAATCTATAAAATTTTTAATTTTTAAGAAAATTTTATTGCGAGTAAAAAAAAACAAACACTTTAAAGTCGGTGGTAATTTTTAAAGGATTTTTTGAAAGTCAGAATACTATTAACATAATTAAACTTGGCAGAACAAAAGAATAGAAATGAATGAGGTATTAAAACTTGGTTAGGTTATGCCGGGTTTAGAAGACTCAGAAGAGCCAACGACATGTTTCATTTTATGGTGAAAGAGCGAAAGATATAATAGTATTTTTTTATATATATCGTAGAGAGGATATGACTTCCCCAAGAAAGAAAGAGAGTTTTTGGAGTATCTCCAAGAGGAATTGGTTAACTTAAAAACAAAAATCTGGTCCAGGTCGGAGTAGTCGACCAGCTCTAAAATCAGGTTTAACATTTGGGTATTGCGATTCGCTTTGTATTCATCTGTATCATATTCGACAAGTGAATCCCAAAGTGCGTTGGTGTGAAGACAATTACTTGCATAATTTAACCAAGACATAATGTAAACTGAAATTTTCATTATGAGTCTCTGACTTGTCCTTGAGAGGTAACATGAGCCTCTAATACATCTCGAGACCAATTAACCTTGTCGTTTAACTGTGCAATTAATTACAATCTAAAATTCACGACGTAGTTATCTTGTGAAACAATTATTTGAATTTGGACGATGATCTTTTTTGGATAGAGAAAGTGTTCCTCCCAAAATCACAAATACTTTTTGGTAGCGTGCACTATATATGTCGGGATTTGAATAAAAATCTTGGACCAAATCACACAAAGAAAACGTACGTGGGGCTTTATTTGTATAGCTAATTAAGTATATGAACATACACGAAAAAAAAAAAGATGCATGCATGTTTATAGTCCTGATTTTCATTGTCACAACGACACAACACATCAAATTCAAAGTATCCCCATCTATCTTTAGGGCTAAAAAACATATATTTAAAAGTCTATTGACCAAAAAAAATCGTCTATTGACCCCACCCCCCCCCCCCCCCCAAAAAAAATGTCTACAATATATGTATATGTAGTACTTAGCATGCATAAGCTTTAGAACACGAAACAGAAATATAAACCCTACACTATAGTACATGGGTAACAAAACAAATATTGGAAGAGAAACTCTCAAATTCAAATATAGGAAGATTTTACCCAAAACAAATCTGGATGATTCAATTAATACCAAAAATGGTACTGCAGCTACAAACGTTAAAGAACAAAAAATAAGGTAGTGTGTGACTGTGTATGGTATGAAGAAGGAAAAAGAGAGATGTGTCATGTGATGGGATCTTCTCGGTGGATATCATATAAAGCTCTTCATCAATTGAACTCAAATCTATTTTTGTCGCTTTTATACTACCGACATATCTTCGCAGAAGTTCTACACAAATTTTTATCTTTTGTAACCCTAACAAGTATATTTTCTAGATATTTAAGATGTCGGCTATAAAAGCTAAAATTTCACTGACCGAAAAAAAGATGAAGGTACAATTTCTCTTAAGATATTTCCATGGATAGTTGGGTTTTGACGGTTCACTGTATAACTGAAAATGCATCCTTTTAGCACTCAAATTATCCACGTTAGATATCTCTATTTTACATAAGATGAGACAAATATGTTAATTATTTAGTTGGATATATTGGGTATTGAAGTTAGAACATATGTTGTCGAAGCCTACAGTTTATGCAGAACCTTTAGGCTAAACATTTCTCAAAATTTCTCTATGCACTAAAATTTTCATGATAACAACTCTTTTCCATCAAAGTTAATTCCATTTTCTTAAGTTTAATTTATTTTTCCAATTTAACTCCAACTACATATTCTTTTACCAAAATCATAGTTTGAGAATGTGTAACGAAGCTCGACGTTATCTCAACTGATTGAACCAACCAAATCAATCATATACAGAGCCGTGCCTTTCGGATGCGGCTACTAAAAAAAAATATTTATATCAAAAATGTTTACTATAATTTTTTTTGTTAAAATATTATATTTATTTTTTTATAAAATCTGTAGTAATTTTGTAGTTAATAAATTGTAACTTTACATAAATTAAAAAAGTCAATAAAAGAGGAAAAATAAAAAGAAACAACTTTACATATAAAAAATTATTTGTGTATGACTTAGGAAAAAATATTTAACAAAATGTGGTGCAAATATAAACCTGTCTGGAAATCAGTTCCAAAAAGAAGCACTACAACTAGAACTAGTTATGCAGTGATAGAGTATAAAATTATGCTTAATAGAAATTATTAAAATTAAGAATTTAAAAATAAGAAAAAAATCTCTGTAATAATTTTTAAAAAGATGGGGCTACAGGCTAATGTTTCTATTTATTCGAGGTAGGTACGGTCCTGATTGGAATATCAATCCAAGTTATACTTCGGAAGATTATACAGTAATAGTCATATATAAAAGTAATGTCTAACTCTGATTAGTATGAGGCATTTTGATAGGAGTCCAAAAACAAATCCGTGCGGAATTTGCTACTTAAACCCAAAGCGGACAATATCATACTAATAAGAAAGTTGGACATTAACTTAAAAAGCCCAACAATTGGTAGCAGAGCCAAAGTTCAGAAAATGTGAACCTCTCGAAGTGGGTTGGGCAGTTGCTACCAATTGTTAGATTTTTTAATCTCATGTCCAACCTCGGGAAGCGGGTTGGGCAGTTGCTACCAACCTAAGATTTTGAACCCAGTAAGCTCTGATTGGTAACATATTTTTTTATTGCGGAATCACAAACAAAATTAAACTGTAGAATGACGGAATGCAGAATAGCGAAATAATTACTTTTGGTATAATTGGATAAACTGTGCAGAATGGCGGAATGATGGAATGACAGAAAATATATAATATTAATTTTTCATAATAATATACTTTATATATAATTTGATATCATAAAATTAATATATTAATTATTATTAAAAACATAATTTTAATATAATTTAGAAAAAATTCAAACTTTATTGTAATTATTTATTTTTATTTTTATTTACTACAAAATATATAAATATATTGAAAATTTAATCTATAGATATAATCTGACATTATATAAATATGTGTAGTATATATATATATATTTTTATTTAAATAATAAAATATAATTAGTTATATAATTGAATGATATAAAATATTGATTCTGTAAATAATATATCTGAAATACACTTTTCCACTTAATCAAGTTTTTTGTAAGTATTTTCGCCATTCCATAAAACTTGAGTTTTGGCGATTTTCCGCAGATTTTTCTGATTGACAAAATTCTTGTGGAATCGTGTTATTCGCCATTCCGCCATTCCGCAAGGTTTACCAATCGGAGCAAGTTATAGTGTTTAACTATAGTTTTTCTTTGATCATATTTTTTTTTATCGATCGTACATATCAAAAAAAAAAAAATTACTTTTCTTGGCAATACATTCATTATAATTAGTGTATTAAGAAAACGTTAAGATACATCATTGCAAAATATTACATAGCTGAGCAGATTAACTCTAGCATTTTTAGTTAATATGTCAGCTGTGGTAATTGCTTTCCTTGAGTTCTTCATGAACCCGGAAGCTCCTCTAGCTATTTGCACAATATATATCTGACTAATGTAACAATGAAATATCGGAGCCTTTTTATTTGTACGATTGCCAATTTGCCATACAAAAATCCTCGGCTTCAGTTTAAAGTGGAGTAGGTGCTGAAGCCGCAGAGCCCTAACAACCGATTTGGCTTACTTAATATAAAGGGTCCAACCTATTCCAATTTGTTGGGAATAAAATACTTATGATCCATCTTCAGAAAAACAATGCTCATTGAGTCTTTGATTAGTACTTTTTATGTTAAATTAACTATGTGAAGTTTATTAAATGATTGACTAGGAAAGAAATGTCCGAAAACAAGAATTTTTAACTTTATAGGGTACAAAAGATCTAAGTGAAATTAAAAGACTAATAACAAGTCTTTTAATAATTAACTAGGTAATAATCCGCACCTTGTATGAAATGAAATAATTATTATTAATTTAGATTTAATATAATTTTAAAATTGTAATTGTAGCATAACATTGACAATAAAGTTTTTTTTTTTTTTATGAAATATAAGATAGTTTAATTGTAAAGTAAATAAATTTAAATTAATTTAAAATTTAAGTAGCATGCGTAACACATGATATAGTTGGGTAAATGTACAATGTTACCATACAGATTGTCTATATCCCGTAATTGATGATATGATTTATTATTTTCACCAATGTCCAAAATTTGGGTATACCATATTTATGTATATATTTAATTACTATTGACTCTTAAAGAATTATATATTATTAGTTAAATAATTTTTTACCTATCTAATAATTATTATTAGTTAAATAAATTAATAAATTTTTCTAGTTCCAAATTGGACTTGTTCAAAATATGATACAAATCGATAAGATAATATTTTTTTAGGAAAATCTATATAAATATATGA